GAAAGTTAAAAGCCTTTTTTCAATGCTTTAGGTGTTTTATAATCCTCTGGCGGACTCTGGTATGCTGACCGAACAGGAACTAAGTACTGTGTTTATCAACTGGAAAGAGCTCATTTGGTGCAACATGAGACTACTCAAGTATGTGTAATACATCATTAAACAGGGTACGATGCACAGGGGTAGATACAGTAATTTTCAAGGAAGGGGAAGGGGGTGTAGAATCAACATTAATGGGGCATGCCCTAAAATGTTTCAATTTGAGAATTGCCCAGTGTGTTTGCCTTCATTTCTGCAATAATATTCACAGTCCTTTTTTAACTTCTCTTTCATAGGGATGGTGAGTCGCTGGCTACCCAATCCACCCCCCCCCTCCCTCCCAAACCATCCCTAGATGGGATAGCGTTTATAACCATGATATTATGATGTATTTTTTGTGTATTTATTTACTCCATGGGTTTCATTTTCAGGGCGTTTCTTATTCGCAAGAAAATGAGCAGCAGCGTCGCTATTACCTCGATTGGTGACATCCTCTGTGAGATGGTAAGATATTCACCCCAACTACTACTGGAATTAAGATCATACAAGCAATCTCTTTGTAATTAAAATTTCGTCTTTGTTGTATTTTTTAGCTGCCCCGTCTCACGCCGTACGTCAGATTCTGTAGCTGTCAGTTGAAAGCTTGTCAGTTGCTACAAAACAAGATTGAAACAAACCCAGACTTCAAACAACTAGAAAAGGTAAAGAAAAAAGCACAAGAACACTTCTAACCAGGTCCAGACGAGTAATCTGACACTGGTAAATGGACAGTTCGTCCTTTTAGGTTGTTCGTAGTGCGCGAAAACGGTCACCAAGCTCTTTATCTGCTCGGTTTTCAAGTCATGGCCTACCATTTTTAAACGTGTCTGGCCTTAGCAACTGCTGTTTGTCAAAAACCCATTTCCGAGTTGACCTAAGCCTCTCTATCAAAGCGACGCCTGGTGCACAGCCATTCATAGAAAAATGAGTTTAATTTGCATGTGAATGAAATCTCTTTTTCATATGAAAGGATGGACACCAAGACTCGCGTTGAGAAAGAGCTTATTGCAGTACCCGGGTTACAGTATGAAACGAATCGGTCAGATACGAGTCAAAAAATTGGCTGTATTTTTTTTTGTTTATTTATTCTACACTGTTTTTTCGTAGTAAGTGTTAGCCCTCATTAGTGAATGTATTTTTTCAGAAATGTAGCGCGGATCCTCGAGCAAAGGGTCTTCCTTTGAGCAGCTATCTACTGAAGCCTCTGCAGAGAATTTGTAAATATCCTCTTCTGATAAGAGAAGTAAGTAAACTGCACTCGTTACTTACAGTCTTTCTCTACTGCCCAAGTAATGAATTTTACTTTTTCTCCCATTTCGGCGTGTAAGTGCTTATTTGCCGCCGAAAAAAAAAAGTACCATGTAGTATCTTGTAGAAGTGGGTTCACATCTCTCACGGTGCAATTTTAAAGTAACGCGATTAATAAACCCCAGTTTAATAAAGAGTGCCAATGTTTAGCGGATGTTTGATCAGACGTTTGTTTCAAGCTATGCCATGGGTTAGTACTCGGGTGTGGTTATGGCCTTTGGTTAAATAATTGGGTTTTTTAACTTTATTCTCGTCAGATTTTAAAGTTTACGCCCGAGAATCACTTTGACAGAATCAATTTAGAAACTGCGCTTGAAAAAGCTGAAGACCTCTGCCAACAGGTGAGTAAACATGATGCTCTCCTTATCTCCCTCCCTGCCTTTTCCCCTCTCTTTCCCATGTTGTTTTCTCTCCCTTTCAATCTGGATAGCCATTTCTTGGACTATTAAAGTCGAACCCTCGAACTACTTTTCAGTTTTTTCTTTGTAACTACACTCAAAAAATGAGTGTGTTATTACTTGTTCACGTTATTTTTTGCAGGTCAATGAAGGTGTTCGATCGCAAGAGAATACTGATCGCCTGGAATGGCTTCAAACACATGTGAACCTTGAAAGCATTGGAGAGGTTGGTATTTTAGGCTCTTCTTCTAGGGCGTAAGGGAGCCGAAAGATTACCGTAAAGTGCGATAACAGCAAGAAGCACGGGGGAAAAAATAGGAAAGAAAATATATGTTTCCCACTCCTCTTCACTGTGCTCGGTTAGGTATTGGGTACATTGCGTCCGATGAAACTGAACTGTACGCCTGGATCCGCAGGCTATGTGTAAACAGTTGTTGTAAACTTTTTGTTTTTTATTAACACAATTATATGCTACGTTACGAAGCTGTTTCTCCCTAACATGTATTTTAATCTGTTGTCTCCTCTTTTTTATGTAGCGATTAGTTTTTAATTCCACAACAAATTGCCTGGGACCGCGAAAACTCTTACACTCTGGAACACTTTGGAAGGTAATACTTTTTTTGTGATCAGTGATGGCCCGGGGTATGCAATCGATGGAAATCGATGATCGAAAAACCAATCGATCAATCGATATCAATCGTTAAAATTAGTTAA